AACCCCCCCCCTCCCCCCCCCCCGAAGGTTGACGAGGGTCTTGTGAGGTATAATGGTGTTCTCCAACCAACCAAGTGGCTTCGTTTCAAGGTCACGACCAGTGTTCCGAACAACGAGGCATAGAGTTTGACTTCATCCTGCATGGAAACGAGGAAAACAACACTCCATAGTCCACAAGCTTCTTTACTCGAACGAGACAACTCCGCTGTCAGCGCCGAAGCATAGTCGTGGGGCAAAGGAGAGGGACGGCATTGCGTTGGTGATGCTTGACGGTTCGGCTCCGTTTTCCAAATTTGGTCTCATTGAAGAAGGGGTAATACACGAAGTGCGAGAAAGTCAGCACAGTGTTGAGGAATGCGGAAGACTGTCCTTGAGAACTAGTCGGTGTCAGGGCTCCAGGCTGTCTTCAGCAGGATCCGCTTTTACCCCTGAGCGTTGATGTTGAACCCTTGCAACTTCTCAGGGACGCTGCGGCTCAGCCAACCAGCCTCGAGAAGGACTACAGGGATCTATCAAAGTCAAATCACTCTCATTGGACATTATGCTTGAAACTTGGCCGAATTCGGTCAGACGAAAGATCGTCGATGGATTTCCTTGTCGGGTTAGATAGAGAGCCACTACCGCAGCATCTCATGGCTCAGGGCTTAAGGCTCTCTCATGGAACCAGGGTGGAATCATCAGACAAGGAGCCCGGAGGAAGAGAAAGGGAGGGGTGAGAGACTGAGAGAGCCTTTGTTGAGGTTCCCCTTGCCTTTCCACGCCTCTCTGGCCCCCCCATGGGCCCTCAGTTTGCGGATACGTCGTGCATTTTTCGTCTGATCTTTTCTCTTCCCGCTTCTGGCTCGCGTCTCCAGTCCTAGTCCCCCGGTCCGCCTCCGGCCCCGTTCAACAACGACTGTCAGACAAGAGCCCTGTCGGAGCGCGGCCGTTGTGCAGCGTGCTTCCTCCGCAAAACATCAACCAAGAACCCTGGGGGGAGTATCCGTACGGAACGGAGATGATTATCTTCTCTTTCGCCGCATAAAGGAGAACGGAGCAGGAAGTCTAGCCGTGACCATTAACAACCGACCGTCGCATAGTTCCGTGCGTTGTTGGTGGGAGATCGTCGTTTTGGATGCCCACTCGCCGTTGGCCTCGGATTCAAACAATCTAAACACTTCTGTTACTGACTCAGCCACCGAAGCCGATGACGGTCGTCAGCAAATACGGCGGGCCAGCTCTGGTTGTGGCATCCATCGCACTCTTTTGACTTGCCCACCCGCCGCCACCTGTGTCCGGATTTCGCGGTCGCCGGTATGGGCTGCCCATTGCTTCAAAGAATCTGCCCGTCTGGGGTTCATCGCTGCTAGCATCACCGGACGCCGGACGGGGACCCCAATCTCACAGCCTGGTGAATTCGTTCCAGAAGAATCGTCGAACATTGCGAGCCCGAAATCCCTGACCGACTCCCTTGGCTTTGCCCCTCCCCCTATCTCGAGCCCTGTAGAGTTAATCCTCGCTTGCCGGGAGCCCTTGAGAGGCCGGCTTTTGTTGCTGGACCCTTTATGGATAATACGCAAGATTGCCGCAAGAGGTAGACAAGGCGAGGAATAGGCGAGATGTATCGCTGACATTTCCGCCACAAAGTCGGTGGCACCAACCCACAGAATCAAACGGTGGCATGGAAATCGGCTACTGACAGCCAGGCAACACGAGAGCGTGTGACGCTTTACGGATACAGGGTCCATCTATCAGATCTGCTGCTCCGGGAATCCTGTCAGCTGACCATCCGCAGCTACCGAAAAGGCTACGGTCTCCATCAAGCCCGTGTTGTCGATAGCTGGCTAAATTGGCTTGGCTTGACAATGGCGTGCTTCAAAGACTTTGTCGTTCCTTTGTTTCCACACTACGAAACGCTCATGGCTGTCAAACTGTTAGTTGCCATCGATACCGTCCCAAAAGTCTGGTTCTGCTTCCGTAGCTACGTCTGAAGGCTCAGAGCTTTCATGTCGCCTTCCAATGCATTCAGCTCCATGTCCACAACTGACAGAGCATAATCACCCGGCGAACGTTGACCAATGGGCAAGTAGCTAAAGCTGGGGATCCGCCGAGGCATGAATGATCATCGCGATGCTGCGACAACACATCGAGAAACGCGCCTTGACGCGTTGTCATTGCTTACTCCAAGTGCATTGTTTTGAAGCCTCGATGGCCAATATGGTGCATGCTCATTGCGCATGTTACGATTGTTTACTTCCCATTACATGGGAGATACTGTGCAACGAGCCTGATCAACACTAGCGACTGTGCGGCAAAACTCGAGATCCCACAGCTTCGCGCCTGTAAGCTCGGACGATTACTCGTTTTCCTCAATCGACTTGGCTACAGCCTACCCGTACGAAACGCGCTCTATGCTGGAGATATAAACAGCAACCGGTCGCCAACGATCAAGAGTGCAGCGTCTAGCGAAGCCTCCAACAGCGTAGCAGGGTACCCAAAACTACCGTGATACCGGGCCAAGCATCCCCAATTGAGTTTGCTGAAACTTAGCAGGTTATCGCTTCCTCGACAAGCATTACAGGCATCGCTGAGAAATTTCCGATTGAGCCTAGCTTCCCTGCCGGCAGAGGAGGGAGGATTCGTGAAGGAAAGAAAAAAGACCACCAGTCATGCGACGCCAGTCTCCAACGCGCTGCTCCGCCGTATTGTTTGGCGATGCGCGGCAGAACATTCTATTGCTACAAAGACCTGCGTGCTCGGGCCTCTGGAGGGGAGCAGTGAGGAGAGGGGAACCACGTCGGCATGAACCAAGCTGTGGGCCATATGGAGAGGCTGTGCCGGACTTGTCCTTGCTTGTCGTCTGTCTGCGACGTCGACGTCGTGCATCTGTACGAGATCGCACAAGGGTTTGCAAGAGGATCGACGCTAGCGTTCGTCTGATGTTCTCCCCGGCCCTCACCGAGACGGGTCCCCTGGCCGGCATCCCGCTGACACCTGCTTGACCCGAGACGGGACTTGACCGTCAAATTGTTCGGATCAATCTATTCTCCCGGGTTGATCCAGCTTCTCGGCGATTGACATGACCTACCGAGGGCTTCTTTTTCATGACTCGGTATACGTTTACTCAAGCGCGGAGCGTCCCCCGAAGCATAACCCAAGTGACGAACGACCTTTGACAGTAGAGACTGACTGCGTACATTAGCCTTGCCGCATGATACTAATTGATTCCCTGCTTCGTTTGCCCACCGTCCGAACTGCTCGATTCCAGTGGGTTCACTATATATTTCCAAGCCGTCTAACGCAAACCTATATGTCTGCTTAACCACGCCCTCGGTTTTCCCTGGCCCAAAACGGGTCAGGTTGCGCAAGTAAGTGGGATGGGACTGTTCTCGCACTAAGAAGCAACACTCTATGCATGCCACGCGGCGTGTCAAAGGCTAGAAGGGATAGGAGAGGCCTTGTGATTCTCGGAATATGCCGACTTGGGCATACACAGCCGGGGCAGCATTTTGCCAGAACATCCTAGGATCTACGTCCTTTGCATAGCCCACACTTTGTCTACTCACGGGAGATCAGCAGGAAGCCACGTTTCTGGAGGATTCACCCCTATCTGGTGCCCCTTTTGGATGTAGTGGCTGACGTTCGTTATTGCTCCATGTTGTATTCAGCATGGTCACCATCAACTTCGTGGGCTATGGCACAACACCATGACGAATGCCTCCAGGCAGGCTTCTTGCTAGTTGGCTGAAGATGGACGCTGCAGAGGCATACGACACGGAGAAGGTTGAGTAGATTTGGCGACAGTTGGGGAGTGCAAATGGAGCATATCGTTGGCTGCACAAGGAGCCTCTCGGGTTGTGTAGAGTTGGTGCCGTACTCATCCTTGGGCCGGTTTGTGTCGCCCTATGGACCAATGAGCCTATCTAGGATTTCGTGAAGTATAAACACTGCGTGACAGAGGGGTGAAGAGTATTTATATGTGTGCGTTTACGATTCCCCATGAGATCAGGGATAGTGAGGACTACGGTTGCCCTTGTGATATATTCAAATTGCGTTATAAGAGGTCGACACTTTGCCTAGCAGTACGCTATCGAATGAATGCCTGCGTCACATTGCTCCAGGTGTACTATTTTGCTCGGCCGCGTGATCTGGAGGATTATCATGGCTCATTCAAGATTAGAAACATTCACGCAATATCTGCGATACTTTGAGGTGGTTTGTGTATGTGAGAGACTGAGCTTACAAAAACATTTACTGGTCAAGGCATCACCGGAGGAAAGGAGTTCTCCACAAGCTGGATGTATTCTGCTTCATATAAAGACGAATCGAGTTTCCTTGCCCTTTTTCTACATATTTGAGATCTGATGGCCCTGGGCATGTATATACGCCGCTATGCCCTCTTTTCCTCTCTCTCTCCCTCCCTCTCCCTCCCTCTCTCTCTCTCTCTCAATGACGGCAGGCGCAGGTATCTCTGGTCTAAAGGTAGATGCTGCTGTCTTTGACTTTCAATCCGAGGCTTTATCTCTCTCCCTCTCTCTTTCTCTCTCTCAATCCTTCCCGTATAGAACACAAATTGCTCAGGACCTTTCATTTCCAAACCGCCTTGATCGCGAAGTTTCTGTCGGCGAGATTTCTGAGAGGGGGGCAGGAGGACCATGGGAGGTTCAAGTTCCAGGCAGTTCTTCCTCTTTTTCCCGTAATTGTCTTTTGCCCAAGGGAAGACGGAGAGGGCTATGCTCTTTGAACTGCTCGCGTCGAGAAACCAATCTTCCAGAGCATGCCGATCAGCAAGTTCACCTTCCCAATCCTACTTCGTCCTGAAAATGGTTTCCTTCTTGTGATTTTGCTTCCAGTGGCACATCAAGTCTGCGCAGCTGACATGATTACACGGATGACCGACATCAACGGCCCCAAGTTCAACCCCTAGAGTAGAGCAGACTAGACCAGAACAGACCAGAGAAGCCAGAAGCGCCCCTTTTCAACTTCTCTCCCCACCCCCTCAGAGCTCCTTCAGAGCCCCTTCAGAGCTCCTTCATCACCTCCCCAACAGCCTTCTTCGCCATCCTCCGCCTCTGGTCCTCGGGCAGCCCCGCGCTGAGGTCCCTGACGGCCTGCAACTTGCGCATCATCTGCTCAATCTTTTCCACGTCCTCGGCGTCCAGGTCCTCCTTTTCTTCGTTGCTCTTCTGTTTCTTCTTTGCGTCCGGTTCCTCGGTAGCAGCGCCATCTTTACTTGCACTCGCTGCTTTCCCCGTCCCCGCTGCTCCCTCTCCTGCTGCTGCTGCTGCTTCATCCTCATCCTCCGGCTCCTGCTCGAGATTCCAAATCGCCTTCTTCAACCCTTCGAAATCTGCTCTGTCGAAGCCGAAGTCTAGGTTCTCCGGGTCGTCGAGGTCAAACTCATCGTCGTCGTCGTCGTCATCGCCGCCGGTGCTGCCTGCTAGAGGTCTAGGTTTCCTGGGTAGATCACCGGCGGCGTCGAGGTCCGAGTCGAGGTCCGATGGGCCGTCCATGTCGTCTGCGGCGTCCCAGTCGTTGGATTCGAGGGCTTCGAGGACTCTTGCTATACCCATTTTCTCTGCCAAAGAAGGGATGTCAGCATGAACGGACTTTTTTATGTGTTGTGCCGAATAAGGGGTAAGTTCCGGGGCAAAGGTCCTCTACTCCTCTATGGCCCCTTCTTCCAGAATCGAACCTCAAGCGTTGAAAAACCGCTCATGGGTATAAACTGCAGACTGAACAGCCCGAAGCAGACACAGAAGTAGAAATTAAGAAGAGAAAATGGGACAAAAGAGGAGGTAAAAAGGGTTGGGGGGGGTGTGTGTGTGTGCAATACGAACCTCCAAACTCGTTCCGGCCATCATCCTTCTTGCCCCCACGAACCTGCACAAACTCGAGCCCCCACTCGGCGCAAAGATCCTCCCACTCGTCCGCCGTCCCGTCCCCGACCCCGACGCCCAGCCCGACGCCGTCCCATCCCCACCCGCCGAGCCCTTCGCGAACGACTCTCCCGACCTCGGTGATGAGTGCGCGGGTGTCCTCTACCGAAGGCGGAGGGCTCGATGCTGGTGCTAGCGCGGTCGCGGTGACATCTGCTGGTATCGGACCTGATGTCGACGAAGAAGAAGATGAAGAAGAAGAAGAAGGCAGGGCAAAAACAACAGCCAACCCGCCCAGCACGGTGAGAACCTCCTTGGCCTCGGGCGAGAGAAAGGAGGCGGACCACTCGGCCGGGGAGTCAACGAGGTCCAGCCAGATGGGCACGTCGGCGGAGTAGTAGCTCGTCTTGATGGGGAGGATGTGCGTTGTGCCTGCGAGAGTTGTGGATGCTGGTTCTGGGTGGGTGCCTGTGAGGTCTACCCTTCCGCGTTAGTATGAAACACCTTCCAAAAGTGTTGGCATCTAGTGAGAGAGAGAGTGTGTATGGAAAAGGTGCGATGTGATGAGTTGCGGTGAGATTCTGAGGATGCCGTTGCGTAGTTTCTCATGTGATGCGGGCTTTCATTCCCGTTTCACCTCATGATGAGAGTGAACGAGACGGAGGGGGGGGGGGGGGGGTGAGATAAGTCAAGACTGACTGAAAAATCCACGGCCAAGGGAAATCAACAGGGGAAAAGAGAGAGTGCCGTTTTTTCCCACCAACCTTTAATGACTCTACTCAAATGCTGCGTCGAGTCGGCTAGCGAGACCGCCAACACCCGGCGCGGATTCTTGACTTCCATAATTTTGTCACCTTTCCTCCTTTTTTTCTCCCCAATTCTGTTTCTCAATCTCGAATTCTGTGGATGTCTAGGATTTCATTTCGTTTGAAGGAGGAGATGGAACGTTGAACGACACGACGTTGGTGAACAAAACTTGGCGGGCTCTATGAGTGTGTTTGAGCTTTTGAGTGTTTGCGCGCAATGAGATTGAGACTTAAAGTGAAGTGAGGTGGGGATGGCGGGGCACAACAAAAACGGCGGGGTTCCGTCGGCGCAGGGTCCAGATTACCTAACTCTCTCTCTGCTCGGAGTACCGGATACAGATGTACTCATCCAATTGGTGACCAAAATCTCGGACGGAGCTAGACCCTAACGATGCTCGAGCGTGCTTACCTTACACGAAGCGGAAGGGGTCCAGTCGCTTGTGAGACATGGGACGGAAGCTTCGGGTGCAACAATGATATTTCCCTCTTCCTCCGCCTTCTTACACTGAATTGATTTCTCTTTTGCTTCTGCACATATCTCCATGGCTATTCCTTTTTCACGGATCACGGCTTTCCACATCACCCAATGCACTGTTATTATTACTCCGATATAATAGCAATTCATCTTGATTGGGTACTACGTATGTATATGTATATCATGCTGTGCTTTTCGTAAGTACTCTGAACCCTCGCTGCCTATGCCAAAACAGTGGTATTCCCGAACCAAAAGGGTAAAGAAAGAATCATGATGCGTCACAGTCTGGGAATCATTATGAGGCGATGCAGGAAAAAGAAGACAAGAAAGCAAAACGCCCGCACTTCCAGCCTTGGGCAAACAAAGAACAACAGGTAAACGAGCAAAGCGACCCAGCCGAGGGAACGAAGCCAACATTCGATGAACGAAACAGCCGATAAACGAGGAAACCAGAAAGTATGCTGTGTTCGACCGAGACCTAAGGTCAACGATCCTCTCCCCATCCAAAGTGCCGGTTGACAACATTCATGGCACTCACCCCGGCTCTCACGAGCCCTCTCGTCGTCTCCTGATCGATGCCCGCAAGGACGTCTTCGAAGCTCGTGTCCTGTCTTCCCTCAGCGTCCCGCAGGTCGCGCTGGTCCAGCTCGCCCTGCCTCCTCTCCAGCACGGCCTTGGAGATGGCCCGCCCCCACATGTTGTACAGGTCCACCTCGGACAGGCTGACGTACTCCCTTCCGCCTGCCGCACCCGTCTGGGGATCTCTCCGGCGTCTGGAAAAGGCCCACTCGGCCTCGACGACCTCGAAACGCTTGGTGCGGAAGAAGAGGTAGGGCCACGCAAAGACCCAGAGGAAGGTCAGATAAAACAGCCAGCGGATCCAAGTGGTCTGGCGCCAGCGGTTCACGCGGCACGTGTTGTAGATCTCGACCGTGCTGTCGTGGACGGGGAAGGAGACGTCGATGCGGCCGCGATAGTTTGTGGCGCGGACGAGGTCCTCGAGGCGGGCCTTGAGGCGCTCGTCATCGTCGAAGCCCGGCACGGTGCGCAGGAGCGAAAAGGTCTTGAGCCCCGCGTGCGAGGCGCAGTAGCGGTGGCACCACTCCCGCAGCGTGGGCGGCTCCTTGCTCACCTCTTCGCCGGCGGCGCCGCCTCGAGCACCCGAGGACCTGCCGCCGAAGCCCGGGGCGCGGGTGGGGAAGACGGTGCCACGGCGGACCTTTGAAAAGTTGTCGGCGGTGCGGAGCTCGCGCCAGGAGCGGCGGGTGGCGATGTCGCGGTAGAGGTAAGGGGTGAGCTCGACGCGGACATCAAAGTCGACGACGGTCTTGCTCTCCGTCTTATCGTCCCGCTTGCGGATGCTCTCGGTGTGGGTGCCGCGGACACGCAGATAGGGTCTCGGTGGCGACTGGGCGAGGGATGTGATGTGAGACTCGAGAAAGGCCGGGTCGGTGTCGAGGCGGCGTGAGCAGTGGATTTCGGCACCGGTGTCGGGGTCTCTGCGGAAGAGGAGCGGGGAGTGGCCGGACTCGTCTGCCAGGAGCGGGGTCACGGTTGTGGTTATGTTGTGTTTTGGGTCGAGCGATGAGGGCTCGTCAGTATAGGACGGGGGCAGGTCGCCGGCATTGGAGGACGAGGCTGTGGCGATGTCGTCGTAGTAGGGGTCGTTTGTGTGGAGGGAGAAGGCGTCGGAGGGTTGGTTGAGACGGAGAGGCGGCGGGTTGGCGGCGGCAGAGGAAGAATCGTCCTTCTTGGAGTCTGGTTCGAAGGGTGACAGGTCGGGGGAGAAGGCGCCTGGCATGGACATTTTGAGGGAATGACGCTGTGGTGTGGTCGTGGGAGGAGAAGAGGTAGGTCGATGGTCCTTAATGTGAGATGCCTGCTGGGTGATGTCGACTATACCTTAGCAAGGTCGAAGATGAAGACGGAGATGCGGAAGACCAAGGCGTAAACAAACCCTCCAAAGCAAAGACGAAAACAACAACAGCCCAGCAAAGTAACAAGAGGTATAAAAAAAAAAACCGAGAGACAGGACAGTCGTGAGGGGATGGGAAAGAGAGAAAGGAATGGTGTGTTTGCCGACGGCCGTATGCGTGCGTACCTGGGCACCTGGGTAGGCAGGCAGACGCACCAGGGATGATTGCCCTTGGCTTTCCAGTTGGGTGGTGGTGGTGGTGGTGGTTATTTTGGCTTTCCGGTGGACAAGCGTGACAGGCACGACAAGGTTCCAGGCCCCGAATTCTGCATTCCAAAGTCTTGGCCTTCCTTTGGCCACCAAGGGACCTCCTGCCGGCGTTCTTTTTCCCCCTCCCCTCCACTGGGTTTTGGCTGGACTTGAGTGGGCTGGACTGTCAGCTCAAAGTCGCCGGTCTTCTTTCCCCAGGGGCCCAGGGGGGGGGGGCCACTACGCTGCGGCAAGACTGTCATTGGGTGGGAAATTCGCTTTCGACGCCCCAAAGGTTCACAAGTGTCTTCAAGTCTCCACTTCTTAGGTGCTCTGCCAGTGCCCGCCCTTTCGTGCCGGTGCTGCTGTGCCACACTACCATGCCACCAGACATTTCCATTCAGGGCAGGCCCGTCGCGGGGATGGACCCGATGGTGTCGTGTCGAATCGTCCCACTCCTCCCAACTGATGACTGCCAGTAAGGCCAGTGAGACGTCGCCCGTGCCACCCATTTCAATGCGATGAACCTGGCAAAACTGGCGACTCATTCAGCTCAAAGAAAAGTGTCAGCTGCACGACGCGTCTTGTTTTTTCTATTTTTTTTTTTCTTCTGGTCGCATGTTCGCAGTTCGGATAAACCCTCTTCACTTCCCAATCACTTGGTAGATTTGCCGTAAATGTGCCGATGAAATTGTCCAATGTAGGTTTTGGCCTTCATTTGCCACACATGTAGTAGTACTCAGTACATCTGAGTTGGGCTGCTCTTTACCGTAGAGTATGCAAGGCAGTATAAACATGCATGACCACAATATTGAACTTGGGTTCGCGACACTGGATCTCGTATAATTACTCGAATCTGAATCTCAGCTGGGGTCAGTGTTACGTCGATTGCAGTGTCCTGATACCGATGCTACCTGGTGAACTTTCTTCGGACGACCACTTTTCATGTTCCAACCTACCCAGAAAACACCCGAAACTTCAATCCTAGTCCGGCAGCACATGGTAGCCTGAGAGACGCAAAAGTTAGGTGCACCATCAAATGCCCAGGATTCACATTATGACTTGATTTTGAATTTTACTTTCCCCCAAAAGTATCTCCTTCGACCTACAGATAGGTAGCTAGCAGGCCAATCAGGGTCAGCCAGTCCAAGGTTTCCGTAGATCAACTATAAAATGCAACCCCCCCCCCCCCTTTGTCCCATCCGTTCGTTGCAAACTCGCTACGCTTCGTCCGCAGTCTCGGCTCTCCGATCTACTCGAATGGGTGACGAGGCTAATCTGCCTCGTTAACTGCCAAATCATTTCCAAGCAATCGAAATGATTTCGAAATGTTCTCCGCCATAGCCTTCTGCTCACCCTGAACGACTACGGAACGCAAGATGAGGTACTAGATGGTAACACGCAAGCGGCAATTTTAGCTGTCTGTTCTCTTCCGAGTTGCAGGGCTGAGAAAAGGAAGAAAGAAATATTTCTACGTAAACTTGTATTTCGAGTTGTGGCGTTCTTACTTGGCTACTATTGGTCCTCTCACTTGCAGCGTACAATGTGGCAGGATCGCCCTCGTCAGACCGTTATGTTAAACCGTTAGGCACCGCCGACTTCCGCCGACTCTGACGACGACTCTTGACCAAGTGCAGTTATGGCATTCGTATAAGAAGTGATTGAATACCACAAAGGGAATACCTGAAAATATGTAACATTTTTTAATTGAGCATCATCTTCCCTGCCTGCTCCTCTTTATCCTCAGTCTCTCTAGACTTCTGACTAGACCAAATATCACCAAATTCTACATTGGCCAAGCTCTCGCCCATTCAAATAATTCAATCTCAACTTCCCCGACTCGGAGATTTGGAACAAGGAAAGAAACATGGCCTCATCCCGCGCCTGGACATTCACCAACCGCGGCAGCCCCCGCTCCGTTCTCTCCCTCGTCTCCAGACCAGCCCCAACCCTCCCACCAGCGCCCCATCTCCTCGCAAAAGCCAAACCCGTCCCCGGCGCCGTCGACGGCAACCAATGGCTCCTCGTTAAAGTCGCACACGCGGCCCTGAACCCGGGCGGACACCTCTACATCACCAAGCTACCCGGCGCCGTGCGCGCAAAGACGGCGGTGCCGGATTGGGACCTAAGCGGGATCGTAACGGACGTGTGGAGCCCCGACTCCGGTTCCGGTGCCGGTTCAAATATGGGTACATCGACGCCCACCAACGCCGGACCCAGCACAACAACCGCAGCAGCAGTCAGAGGAAATAGTATCCCCCGCTTCGCAAAGAACGACCGCGTCGCAGCCTTCCTCCCCATATCCTACGCCTGGCCAACCGGCACCGGCGCCCTGGCAGAACACGTCCTCCTGCCCGCACGCTACGCCGTCCCCGTCCCCTCCCACGTCTCCCTCCGCGATGCGAGCTGCGTCATGACGGCAGGCTGCACCGCCGCCGTGACCATCCGCGCGACGGGCCTCAAAAGGGGCGACAGGGTCCTCGTCAACGGCGCCAGCGGCGGCATCGGGTCTCTAGCCGTGCAAATGGCGCGCGCCATCGTCGGCCGGGAGGGCCACGTCGTCGGCGTCTGTTCGGGGCGCAACGCGGAAATGGTGTTGGGGCTGGGCGCCGATGAGGTCGTGGATTATACTGCGAGTCTTCCGGTGCCTGTGTCAAAAGTGTTGGGGGAGAAGTTCGGGGCCGAGGGGAGAAAGTTTGATGCTGTTGTTGATTGTGTTGGTGTGCAGGATGTCTATGTGCACTGCGCAGAGTATCTGAAGCCCGAGGGCGTATACTCTGCGGTGGGGATCAAGCCGGCTGACCAGTCCGTCGGGGCCCTCGTCAAGGCGGGCTGGCAGATGCAGATGAATGCGCTGTGGCCTCGTTCGACTTGGTTAGGCGGCACTGGGAGGCGGTGGGTTGCGACGGCGATGATGAATCCTGGGACGGCGTTGATGAAGGAGGTTGTTGCTATGCTAGCGGATGGGAGCATCAAGGCGGTCGTGGAGAGAGAAGTTGGATTTGAGGAGGCTGTGGACGGGTATGAGATTGTTGGTAGTGGGAGGGCACGGGGGAAGGTTGTTGTCAATGTCGGTGGACAGTGATTCGGCCCATGGAGAATCAGTGTTGTTTTAGAGACAGCACTGGATGTAAAATTGTTGGAAGTATTATTTCTTCTGGGTATATAGATTCCTAATTAGACTTCGTCTTATACTAAGCTCTTCTCACAAGTCGAATAGACCGTCAAAGTATGATGCCGGCCTGCAGTTTAGTAAATTTGTAGGTATCTTCCGCTCTTCGTCTCTGGTGAGTCCAGCTCCATCCGATGACAAGCTCACTCTTAAAGACGTATGCCTCTCCAGACTGTCTAACACATGTCTTTTTGCCAGACTACAACTTCAACACACAAGCTCCTGCGCATGTCTGTAATCGAACCCTACGACAACAGCCTTTGCAAACGAAAGAGCTGCAGCCAAGACCTAAGAATGTCAGCATATCCTTCAAGCGGTCTTATCTGAGCAACCCCAGAAGAGAAGCTCTCAACTTACAAATATATGCATCAACTGGTGACTGGCCCCAAACAAGTCAAATGTCCTCGGGAACCATCTCTCTGGAAACTGCCCCCCAAATAATTAGCAATCACTTGTCACAAAATTCAAACCTCATAGCAGTCACAGAGAAACAAAAAAGCAAAAAAGAAATAAACTTACCTTGGACCAATACACAAAAACAGCAACACAATTCCACCCAGCCGTCCCCAAAACCCACCACCCGCCAACCCTATCCCACACCTCTCGTCCACCGTCCGCAGCCAGCACCACCCCGTGCCCGATGGGCACCACAAACGCCGCGAGCCCAAACGCGGCAAACAACACGGCACGGTGGTGTCCCAAGTCCACGGCGCCCAGATCCGGCCTCGCCGTCGCCGCGGCGCAGAGGGCGGCCAGCAGGCCCGTCAGACCGACGTAGGCGTCCCGCGTGGCCGGGGAACAGTGGAACACGTTGTGCGCCAGGGGGAAGACGGAGGACCACATTAGGGCGAGGACGCCGTGGAAGTCGGCTTTGATGCCCGAGAGGTAGATGGATTCGCTGTGGGACATGAGGGTGTGGAAGCTTGAAGGGGTGTCAGCTTTGTCACACACTTCTGAACATGTCAGGATAGAGGAGACAGAACTAGGGAAAGTTGACATATTGATGGTAAACTTACGCCGTGGACAGGACGAAACATATGGTTACCCCGATGGCGTAGGCGGTACAGACGACCACGTCTGCCGTTGAGGCGATGGTCCATCTGGCTGGTATTCCATCGCTGAAGATATAGAATGGCAGCAGAATGAAGACGATGGCTCCTATTACGTGGGAGTAGATGTTGACTATTCTCGGCATCAGTTCGTGACATCTTGTCACGCTGGAACTGTAACTTTCAACTCACCCGACTCATTATGCACATAGGTCCAACTGGCGAAGCAGTCTGATACGGAGCCGCACGCTTGTCTATCTCAGTATCTATTAGAACGAGTCATCAGAAAACATCACGTTCACTCAGAAATGCTCACCGATACCCGGTCTTGATATGATCGCTCCCACACCTTGTCTGAATCAGTTGCTTGTCTCCAGAACCATCACAAGGGCATAACTCACTGTTGCCATACAGCTACACAATCAAGTGTCAACTTCTTCAACTCCCAAAGCAAGACAACTTTCATAAGATGATTTGAATTACTCACGTAATTCCTCCCACGAGAGCAACAATGCCGCCGCCGCCGTCCTTTCAACCTTTTCTTCCGCCTCCTGACTCGGCCCGCTCCAACTCCATAGCCGCCTCCCGGGAGAGTCGTTGTCGATGACCGTCCTCAGCCTGCGCCTCAACGCGGAAGTTGATAGGAGTGCTGCCATTGCGATGCGCGGCTATTCCTACCTCTTCCTTTCTCCCTCTCGCGCGGGACCGTTTCTTGGGGGGCGCGATCTGGGTTTGCTAGATCGGCCACGATGTATATGTCCACGCCCGTAAATCAGTCTCTCAAACTTTCCAAAACTGGATTCAACTGTCGGACATGGGCTGAGTAAGTGCGGCAACTAAACGCCCAATCAAAATGGTTTCGAAGAGGCTATAATGCAACCTAAAAGTCGCGAGTACGATACCACAATAACCAAAGCAATGCTCATGAAAATCATCAACACTTCAAACAAACAGAAAAAGTCCCATCAAAAACATTGAAAAAAAAAACAGAAAAATCCCATCGTGAATTCCTTCAATGCCACGAATTTACCTTATTCGCTTCTTCATTGCCGCCATACCCGCCAAACAGGTGTACCAAAACAAGAAAAAGCCCACCGACTCGAAACCGCGCCCCGGAAGCGCGCCGATCCGGTGCGTCCCGTGCATCGGACCACCGCTAAATTGCGACGACGCTGATGCATGCCCATGAATAATGCAATTGGTATTCCGTAACCTCATCCAATCGAGAAGAGCGTTAACAAGAAAAACCGCTAGGAGAAAAAAGGCGAGCATAGAGCAGAGGAGGAATCGTGCTTGGGAAGGGGAAGACGTGCGTTGATACAAGGTTGGACCCTGGATTTGGGAGCAAACATCGTGGTTCGCTGACGCCAGCTATGTGAACTAAGCTGAAAGCAGGAGATATTCTGGCATTGTCTTTGGAGTCGGAATGACACACGTTTAGCCAACAGAAACTACATGGACGTTTTGACGTTCTAACAGAGAGACTTGACTGACTAGCAGACTGAACAAGACCAACGCTAGCCGGTTGGCGGAGGGTATTTGGGAGGTCTGACCACGAATTAAGCACCTGAACGTAGTTCAATTTTGGCAACGTTAGACAGGTAGAGTATATCCAGGGTTGTTTCCACGAGCGGACTTGATGGACTACGAGACCTGATATCGATGGAAACACCGATGCCGAGGACAGTTCGAGAATGAGAATGAGATGATCACCCTAAGCTTTTTTTATTTATTTATTTTATCTGAATCATGGCATCGCAGCCTATACCATAGGAATATTACCGGTGGCCTGACCTCAGCTGATCAGACGCTCCAAGTCGATCGCCCCCTCCTATAAATGGATCGAATCGACAGTGGCGTCGACGGCGACGTTAAGTCGTTGATTTTGTGTTTATAGTTTCTAGACATGACTACATGGTACGCAAAGTTTATCTCTGTGCCCAGAAAAGTCAAACATAACTTCGCAATTCAAAAGCCAGTCACCGAGCCAGAAGATATAGGGCCTATAGGCAAAGATGCCCTCTGTCTACTCGTCAGATTCACCATACCGGACCATAAAGCCAACATCATACTGCTTTCTCACCATAGTCGTTGCGCTTTTTGCGAAAACCAACACGCCACGTCCGAAGCGTGGGCTATCTAGATACAAGACCAAGTGGCAGAATCCCTATTTGAACCCCATGAGATCTAAATGACATCCATGGCAAACCATGTAGTTCCTTCCGAGACTACTTCACTCTCCATCACTATCGAACACACGGGACTGTCTTCAGAGCCGGCTAGCTGTCTCTGCCCACCAAAGCCAATCAATATTCAGTATAAAAAGGTCAGAGATAGTACCCAATTTGTCTTCTTCTCCTCAGCGGGGACATTGAAGTCAGCCCATTCCTTCTCCTGTTATATTCTTCATAGGGGTGGCCACGAAGGCCGACGTGGAAGTTCGCAAGCTTTCCATCCTAAAGCGAGATTTTCTCACCAGCCTCCCGTGTTTGCCCGCCACCTCTGATACCCAAGTATTCTACCTAGTATGACCACCTGGAAACGACGGGATACTGAAAAGAGTGATTGAGGCCGATATAAGCGCCACCCTCCAAAGAGAAATGTCTGGCCCAAGACTCAGACAACTATATCAGCGGCGCACAATGCCCGAGAGAACTTACACGTTCAACTCTGCGGTCTCTACTTGACGTTGTAAGCCGCCTTTAGTAGGAATCTACTTTTATGCCAGACGGGGAGCACATCAACCTTTCGCCGAGCTTTAGTCCACATTACTACAGACTTCTCAATGATAGGACGGCATGCCTGCCTCTGATGAATACTCCATACCGGTATGAGGCAGAAATGTCGTCGGTTCTTTTGCTAAGCCACCAGGACATCAAAGCGAGGCATATCATATAATAATCATAATCGCCTACGGCGCTCGGCGTTTGCCTTCTCCCTAAATCGCATGGATGAATTCAAGGACGGCTTCCTGGTGAGCGCAGTCTGGGGGAGGATAGTCTCAACCTTGAGCACGTCCAGTCCTTTCCACAGCTGCAAAGCCTCCATCGGATGGTAACACCGGAAGCGAAGAAAATGGGCCATCCTCGTGAGTATGTCGACAAACCCGCTGAATTGCAAACAGTTAACGACGCATTGGCCCCGGGAGACAGGATTGAAAGCGTCAGCTCCTTTGCGTACAAGGGGCTGTAGTATCAGCTCTGTATCCTCGCGCCTTGGCAATCAATGTGCCCTTCCTCACAGCGAGATTGATACCAGTGATGGAGCTCGAGCGTCGTGGTGGATGAAGGCAGCCATATACACCGGATTGAGAACCACTTACATGAGACGAATGTCGCCAGCCATTCTATAGCACGCTTGCGCGTCTTCTTCCCTCTGAATCCCTTTCAGCCACCGACATCCAAAAGCCTTACATGTTTCTGGAAGCCTTCGTTCACATGACGAACTCCTTGAAAACGTTGTCGAGGGCTGTCAGCCACCATATAGGTAAGACACCGAACAAAGAAGCAATGTCCGAACCCAGACTTCCCGTCAAGCCCATCTCGTCGTTATTGGCATCCGGCACTCTGAGAGCCGCCGCCTCGCAAAGATGCTACCGGTCGGGCCAAGCCTCGTGCAACGTCGAATCCTCAAAATCTCAAAAGGGCGTCACCCCGTGCTCCGTGACCGTAAAGCCTTTTCTCGATCTTGGTACGGGTCGGCCGACTCTCAGCGCCAGAGCTTGAGCGAGACATTCCGCGTGCAACGTTTCCCGAAATCGCACTCCATCCTGACTCGCCATCGGGCCGGTGTTGCATGGCGCTCATTTACACTGCGACTCAGGCAGCAGGTTTTTGCCAAAACCCCCCCCAACATAGTGCCAACTCCGGGTTTCTGGGTTCTGAGTAGTGACGAGAGTAAGCTTACGTGCAGGGTGCGCCTGAAGCTCAGTGGTCGCTGTGGTCTGTAGAGAGGGTGCGTAATTAACTTGTCGGAGGAGACTGCAACCTCAAAACCTCGCGATCGTCCTCGCTTCGAGGTGGATATAGCTTGTCGATCCGCTTCACCACGTTGCCCCTCCGCACGAGGATCGTCAATCAACAAGTCGGAACGAGGGACGGGCTTTTTCGAGACGCTACCCTGTCGATCCCAGTGCTCGCCGTGGCCTACGGACTGATACATTCTCCAGACAGGCCTTTGGTCAACGACTCGTTTCCTGTTTTCTTGGAGGTACACAAACCAGATGGCTGGGATAGCTTCTCATCACCGCTTGATGATGTGTAACGACCCTAGGTCATGTCTCAGACATGTCATCTAGTGCGACCAGCTGCTGTGGGATCATCGAGGGCGAGAATCCCATAATGGGGGTTTCCGTGATCTGGAAGCCAGTCGACCTGCCTCGGAGGGCGTCGTGGGCGTGCACACAGAAACGGACCGCTCATATGACGAGCAAAGGGCGAAAGTACCCCCGGTTCTTCATGATCCTCAGCGCAAGGTACGAGTCAATATCCCCGTCTCTCCACGATTCGAAAGAATACGATGCCCCCAATACTACTGTAAAGTGGCTAGTGCTGAGGCGGCTTGTGCTCACTGGCAAGGGTGCAGTCCGCAGTGTCAGAGGGTATTACAGATCGCTTTCATAGGATTTGTGAGACAATGTGGGCGTAGGACAATGCTTAGAGATCCCGTCTACGGTCTGACGGGTGCTGTATCCGGAAAATGAAGACGAATTCATCTCTCTGATGCAAGACACGACTGGTATCTGCCGCCGAGGAGAGAGTGCGTAAGAGTGTGCCAGCGCTGGCTCCTTGTTTGCACATCTCACTGTGCACGTTTGCTGCAATGGCAGCTGTAAGAAAAAATACGTCTGATGAAAATGGGAGTCCGAGGCACTCAAGTCCCTAACTGACCGAAGCTATTGGCGCATATCGCAAGCCACACGAGAATCTCAATGTTGGCCTGGACCTTGGCGGGGTATGAGTGGATATGTCGAGGACCTTCTACTAGGCAGTAAGACTGACAGTCATGTCCAAGATGGCATTTCTGGCGTTAAACCCGCATCAATGCCACGCGATTGACAACTGGCCAAGATGATCGAATCTGCTTAGGTCTAAGAGGAAAAAGCAAGCGAAGAGGGTTAAAGTATGTGGAGAGGCTCCTCAGAGGT